TTTTTTTTTTTTTTTTTTTGGTACCAGGGATCGAACTCGGGTCCATGCACTTGTGAGGCAGGTAGCAGAACCACTGAGCTAAGTCCCCGGCACATCAGGCACTTTTTTAAATTCATAGAACTGTACAACACTAAAAGTGAACCCTAATATAAACTGTGGATTTTAGTTAATATATCAGTATTCATTCATTGGCTATAACAAATGCAACATACTAATGCAAATGTTAATAATAAGGGCAACTGCCAACAGGAGCAGGAGGAAGAGAATATGAGAGTGTTCTTTGGACTTTCTGCTTAGTTTTTCTGTAAACCTAAAAGTGCTCTAAAAATAATCTATTCATTAAGAAAAGAGCATTCACCAGCACCTAGCAAAGTACCTAGCACAGAGTAGACAATGTTTGTTGAATAAATGGACAGAAAATAAGTCAATCATTTGATAAATAGAACACAAGGCCCCCTGAGTCAAAGTTCAGAATTCTTTTTGTGTGTGTGTGCTGGGGATCAAACTCAGGCCCTTGCACTTGCAAGGGAGGCAGTGGAGCCACTGAGCTAAATCCCCAGCCCCAGAACTCATTCTTGAACATCAGAGGTAGGATGACAATATAATTTATTGTCCAAACCAGGATATTTGAGAATGAAATGAAATGCCACAGATGTAAATCAAGACCATCCCAGAAATAACCAGAAAATTCAAACTAGGGGACCATGAGCTGCATTGTGCCTCCAAAATTGTTTTGTTTGGCCACTCATATTGATGCTCCACACAGTTTTCTTTTTTCATTTTTTTTTTCAGTGCCAGGAATGGGACCCAGGGCCTCATGCATGCCAGGCAAGCAATCTACCACAGAACTATATCCCAGCCTCCACACTATATATACTTTAAAAATTTCAGTCAGTTGCCCACATTTAATACTGTGGAAATGTTGCGTTAAAATATACATTTCTGATCCTTTGGTTCCTGAGCAGGATGATTAGGTGTTCATGCCATATGCATGAGATGTGGCTCCCTCAAACCTTGTTACATTGTAGGCACATTACCCATCTGATGTTTTTAAAACATGTGCATTTCTGACTTTTCTTAGAAAATGAAAAGCTCTGGTCACTCTGGGCTCACATGGCTGCACAGTAGTGAATAGCGGGAGCTGAATACCAGCTGCCAGCTTTGCAAGCATGTGTCTCCCTCTTTGCCTCAGACTCTACCACTCCCCTTTGTACATCTTACTAAAAGCCAACTGTGAGTTTCCACCTACCATCCCACTTACACTGGGTTTTGTTTTCTCTTGTAATAGAATTGAGCAAAAAGGAAACTGTTTCTTATACTCATTGTGATTCAAAGTAGGAAAATGGAAAAAGCAGCAAAAGGACTCCAGATGTCTGCTTTACTCACATGCAGTACAGTCTCAGTCTCTCTATGCATTGAGGTTTTCCTTGCTGGCCTGTCTTCCTGGGATCCAGCCTGTGTTGCCTTTTAGAATTTTTCTCAGGCTGCTACCCATTGCTAGAAAACCTGGATGCAAGGGAAAACAATGGGCATCATGTAAACTTGCATTTTTATTGCTACCCAAATTCAACATTGGTCATTAACAACTTTTGATGGAAATTGTTTCTGTTGTTTTTCTTAATCACCTCCAAATGTAACTGGAGAGCAAGTGAGGGCAACAGAATAAAGCACCCACCTTTCCTCTTTGTGAACACGAACCATTGGAATGCTGTGATATGTTTTGTGCAGCTATGTGTTCACTCAATCCCAAGCTCTGAATGTGCTTCCAGATGGAGGGACCCTCACTTAAGTACAAGTATCCCCTGCGGTTGTCCTTCACAGAGAAAGCATGAGACAGAAATACATGAATGGGGCCTGTCTGAGCTAAGGGGTTGGACTTCATTCATAGGCAGTCAGGAGCTGCTAAGTTTTTGGAGCCGGAGAGGGCTGTAATCACACCTAGCAACTGTCAGGGGGCAGCTGCAAAAGCAGGAGCACCAGTCAAGAGTGTTGGAGTAACCAGAATAACAAGATATGTGATATAAGGTAGAGTCAGATTTGAAAGAACACTTTGAGATTAGACTTGCAGTTCATCAGACATGGAAAGGCATGAATCAAGAGATGAAAAATAAAAGATGATCCAGAAATTTTGAGTTTAAGGGTTCAAAATACCAGAATCATGATCCAAAAAAGAAAAAGTTGCTAAATTGCACTTTAACTTTTGCTTTGCAAATGAAAAGAGATAAAATATGTGCAAATATATCTGTATCTAAAGCATATAAAGAACTCTTCAAAGTCATTAGAAAAAAAAACACTGGGCTTATATCTCAGTGTTAGTGTACTTACCTAGCATGCCTTTGGCCCTGGATTTGAGCCCCAGCACCATAAAAAATATATATGGGACCAGGCATAGTGGTGCATAGTGGTAAGCCCAATACTCTGTGAGGCTGAAACAGGAAGATCGCAAGTTTAAACCTAGGATGGGCAACTTAGTGACTCTGTCTCAAAATTTAAAAAATAAAGAGCTAGGGATATAGCTCGATGTGAAGGTCTTGGTTTAATTCCCAGTACCACCAAAAGGGGGAAGGGGGCAAAAGATATAAGGAGGTTAAAGAGACAGCAAATAAGCACATGAAAAGATGTTCTACATCATTAGTCACTAGGAGAAAGCAAGTTGAAATCCCAATGAGATATAACTAGCTACCTGTCAGAATAGCCACATAAAAATATCAGATGTTGGCAGCGATACCAAGAAACTGGATCCCTCATACATTGCTGGTAGGAATGTAAAATGGCACAGCCACTCTGGTACACACTTTGACAGCTTCTTATAAAACTGAAGATGCAGCTACCATACAACCAGCAGTTACACCCTTGGGCATTACCACCCCCCCAAAAAATGACTGTTCACACAAAAGTCCATACATGAATGTTCATAGCAGCTTTGTTCATAACAGCCAAAGGCTGGAAACAACTCACATTTCCTTCAACAGACCAATGGTTAAATGGACTGTGCTACATCCATACCACAGACTATAGCTCAGCAATAAGAGGTAACACACTTCATGCACAGCATGGATTGGATGGATATTAAGGGCAGTATGCTTAATGAAAAAATGCCAATCACAAAAATTTATATACTATGATTCTGTGTGTGTGTGTGTGTGTGTGTGTATATATAAAACATTCTCAAAATGATAGAATTTTAGAAATGGAAAACAGTAATGCTTCTCAGGTGTTAGCAATGGTGAGGGGGGTAGCAGAAAGGAATCTCTGTAATGATGGAACAGTTCTGTATCTTGGCTTTGGTGGAGCTTATGCAAATCTGCACTTGTGATCAAACTGCATAGAACTACACACCCATAAGTGCTACAACTACTGAAATCTGAATAAGGTCTGTGACATACCAATGTCAGTTTCCTGGTTTTGATTTTTAAAAGTGATCATGTAAGGTATTAATATTTTGGAAAAACCTGATGAAGGCCACATAGGACCTTTTGGTACAATTTTTATAGCAATGATATATAAATAAGTATTTAAAAATTAAAAGTTAAATACAAAAAAGGAATGAATTGTTGATACATGCAAAACATTGTATGAACCTCAAAGGCATTATGCTGAATGAAAGAAGCCATTCTTAAAAGGTTTCATACTGTTGGATTCCATTTGTGTGACATTATCAAAAAAGACCACACTACAGTGATGGGGAACAGATCTGTAGTTGACAGTTGGTAGGAAAGGGAGGATGATGCAAAAGTATAACACAAGAGGATGTTGGTGAGTTATACAGAATTGTTCTGTGTTATGAACCTATACATGTGTTTTAAAAATCACAGATGTGCATATACCCGAAAAAAGCCAGTTTTATTGTAGGTTAATTTAAAACTTAAAGTAGCAGTGCTTGGAGCATAATTCAGTGGTAGAGTACTGAGTCAAAGCCTAACCTATGAATGAGGTCCTAGAGTCAACGCTCAGTACTATAAAAATAAATAAATTTTTTCTAAAAATTAGATAAGCAAGTGGTTTGTTTCTGAATCGTTTCTTCTTTCATTCATACATTGACTCAGCCATTTACTGAGCACCTACTATATCTGAGGCAATGTACTAGATTTTGGAGATCAACCAAAAGTAAGACAGTGCAGGTCTCTGCCCTCATGGAGCATTTTTCCTGCTTCAGAGAAATGGTCATTAGGATTTGGAGTGTACTGTTTCTAATTAGGGATTGCAGCATGCAGAAGGTTGCCAAAGGACCAAGTTAGTATGCTTGTTATTCCCACAGCCCAGTCCTATAAGATTGCAAATTATCACTTTTCTGAAAAGGGTCTTAGGCCTGAGGGCAGGGGAAGGCCCTCTTTCCATACATCACAGGTTCTCACAAGGGAGACTGCTGAAAGGGGGAGAAGGAGAAAGAAAGGTTGCTGTGGAGGAAGATTTGATGTAGTTAGCTCTGGAGTCTGAAAAATGTTACCTAAATGCATGTGTGTATTTGTAGTGCAAGAAGGGCTGAAATGGCCTTTTTTTTAAGCTCTTGACTCTGTAGACTAGGGATAGAGCTGGGCTCAGCTAGATGGTTCTTCCAGTTTTGACTGGATCCACCCAGCAACTGCAGTCAGCTGGCTGTCAAAAATGCCAATCACAAAAGTTTATATACTGTATGACATATAGTTTATATACTATATGATAGGAGCCTCAGTCATAGGTCTGGTAGTTGGCTGGTGGCTGATGGGATGACAGGAGTAGCTGGACTCTTTGTCTCTCATCACCAGCAGGCCAGCATGTGCTGGTTCACATAGCGTAATCACAGGGTTCTCAAAAGCAGGAAGAGAACCAGCCACAAAATCCAAGTGCTCTTTTTCTTCTTCACAGCCTTACTAAGGTATATAACATTACCTGAATTTGAAATCTTTTTCCTTTTCTCTTTTCAGGGAATATGAAGCATGTGGTCTAGTTGACAAAAAAAGATCAGGTTTCCAGAGCTGACCAGCAGTGCCTGTAATGAAGACAGCGTGTTTATACAAGCAGTTTGTGGAATTTGTGACTGCAGGGGAAATTTGGACAAAATTACTTCCTGAAAATTTCCAAGGAGCACCAAGTAGCAGCTGGCCTCCTGGGTTGAGGACGCAGGCACCTCAGAGTCCTCAACTAGGCCTAAGGGAAGAGGGAAGATATCCACAATTTAAAGTTCTTATTTTTTAAAAACACACAAATGCAGTTTTTAATCTTTGAAAATTATTTTTAAGCACATTTGGTTGGGAGGTGTTTTTATTTTCTTAAAAGAGACAGGTCAGAAGCTGGAGGAGAGCATGGAGCTCTGGATACCAGAGGGTTTGGGCCTCAGGGCCATTCAAGTGGAGCCCTGGGGAAGGGGCGCCAATCAGAAGACTAGGAAGTAGGGAAAAGTTTCAATGGTGTTGTTTTAGGACTATATCTATTTTGATTTTTAATAAAATCTTTGAAAGCCTACCTCTTTGTCCCATTGGCCTCATTGTAACTGCCACTGACAGCACACACAGTTCTGAACTTTTCTTATCATTGAACTTACCAAGAATAAACCTGCTGTTTCTGTGCTCTCTGGTCCACCTGGGAGGCTCACTTTGAGTGCTGGATCCCCCAGGGAAACTAGTGTGTCCCTACCCCAAGTCCTGTGGACAGAGGCCAAGCCCTATCCTGTACTGGGGCCAATCCATAGGGCAGAAGTTTTGGGAATACTGGTGCTGCAATCATGGAAAGGGTCTTGCTGGCAGCCTAGGCAGCAGCTGCCTTTGCCTGGGAAGGATTTAGGGATGGGAAGGACAGGGCATGTCAGATCTTCCTGATCAAGTGTAAACAGCACATGTGATAAAAAAGGGACAGTGTGTAATGCACTGGCATGACCATAACCTCCTGGGGGATGGCAAAATGGAGGCGGGGAATAATGATGAGGAAGACCAAGTGACAACCACAAGTCATAATTTTATAATTTGATTTACCAAATATTTATGGAAGCTCAACTGCTGGGACCAGGAAAGGAGGCAGCCTCCTCCCGGCCATCTAGAAATTCCCAGAAAAGGCAAGGGAAAAGGAACAGAAGTAGATCTCAGTTTGTTTGAAGCTCTTTCCAAAACACTCTCAGAACTGGGGATCACTGGAGAGGGAGCAGCAACTCGCCCTGCTGGAGAGGCCCCCAGAAGTACATAGCTAAGGAGGTGATATTTGAGCGCAGGCCCTTGAGGGTGAGCTGTATTTCCCCAGGCCCCCAAGTGGGAGAGGGGCATTCCACAGAAGAGTGTGGAAAAAAGCCTTGAATGTGTCCTGGAATGGGAATAGCCAAGCTTTTATTAAACTGGGTAGGGTGCCTGATGGACTAGGAATACCAATCACTTCGAATGCCCACTATTCTGATTATACACTCTCAGTTTAAGGTAAGTTGACTTATCCCCCAAAAGGAGGGATTTTAAAGAAGAGTAGGGAGGTGCTGAGTGGGACAGTGAAGGGGTGGGGAAGGCCAGGGAAGCTAGTAGTGGAAGCTCTTGAATTTCCAGCCTACCAGAGACCATCTGTCAAGGTTTGCCCCCTCAAAGGCTTGCTTAGCACTGTTTCAGCTCTCCTATCCTAGTCCTCTGGAGGGAACCCACCACCCCCAGAGTGGTCACCAAAATCCCTGTGAAGGCCTCAGCCCTAAGAGGCAGACACCTGGTAAAGAGCAGTGACTACCTGGTGCCCCCTTGTTCCTCTCAGTGGGAATGGATCTGGGCAAGGACCTGCCACCCAGTGAAGGAGAGTGACAGAAGATGCCAGGCGACTAGGGGAGCTCTTTGCCAGGGACACCTGAACTGCCTACTCCTGACCAGGCCAGCACTGCCTATCTGAGCCCTTGCTGTGGCCTTAGTTCTCCCTCACAAGAACCAGAGTAAGCTATTGACAAGACCTGCTGCTGGTTCTCAGAGCTAGGCAGAGAGGGCACCACTTCAGTGGGCTTCAGGATTCTTTTGCGTTTCATTCTTGCAGAAAATACTAGGTAGGCTGCAGGTGTAGCTTAGTGGTTGAGCATCTGCACTGCAGGCACAAGACCCCGGGATCAATTTCAGTACTGCAAAAAAAGGAAAGGAAGGAAAGAAACAGCCGAAAGAAATCCCATATAGATAAAGTTAGGAGCCATTTTAACTACTCGCAGATTAAAAATTACCCCAAGTTTAGCATGACATCTACAAAACCAGAAAGACATATTAAGATTAACTCTGTCCAAAATTATCATAAATGCATAGGAGAAGAAAATAAGGACTGAAAGGAAATATACCAAAATATTAACTGGGGTGAGCTTTTGTGGAGGAGGAAAACAAGACGTTTTCTTTTTCTTCTATTTTTCAATATTTTCCAGTTTTTTTTTCTAGCGAACACGTTTCACTTTTACATGCAGCTCAGTGGTAGAGCACTTTCCTATCATCTGGGAGGCCCTGCGTTTATTCCCAGCACCACAAAAAATAACTACGTTAAGTAACAGAGTAATAAACGAACTTTAAAAAAAGACTGGTCTGCAGATCTTTACAAAACAAAGTCATTTCAAGACACTCATGGAAGAAGACTGTGTCCAAGCCCTAAGGCTGTTCTCATTGCCCAGGGAGCTCTGAGGCCCAGTCAGCTTGAAGTCCTCATGATTTACAAATCACTAAACTGGAGACCTCACTAAACTGGTGATGGTTTTTGGATGAACTAGCTTGAGGGCAAGGCAAGTTTGAATCCAGTGTGAGCCTGCCTTCCCCTCAGGAAACAGCTGCCCATCCACCCACCCACACCCAATCCTTGTGACTGCAAAGCACCAGCCCCATGACAGAAATAATGGTAAGACAAACTGGAATATGCTCCATCTTACAGATCATTTTCACTCATATTATATCACTAGCTACTCAGTAGGTATTGTATTATCATCCCCACTTTAGAGATGTGGAAACTGAAGCCACAAACTTGCCCAGTTGTGAATGGCAAAGCCAGGAAGAAAACCTAGCTGGAACTGCAAGTACCCTTTACTTTTTCTACTACCCTACTCGAGTGCCCTTTTTATTTTTAAACTTTGAATTTGGAGTAAACAACTTTCTTATTGCTTCCAAAGTCCAAGTGGGACCAAGCCACATGCTGATCCTAGGCCCTCAACCTACAATGACAACACTAATTAATTGTGTGCTTTTTCAGCAAGTTGCTTGGCCTTTCTGGGTCTATTTCCTTGCACATAAAATGAGGCAAAGAATTTCTGCACCTCGTGAGCTATTATGAATGACTGATGACTTATCAAAGACGTAAGCAATTTGAAAAGAGTCTCAAGTCTTCTGCACAGCAGAGCCTGCCATGAAAATGGGCCCGGAAAGTCTTATCTCCAAGACCACTCAGCAATTGCAGGAGGCCCCCAGGCCTCCCCAGTCTCTCTGAAGCACTGGAAGGGCCAGAGAAAAGGAAAGAAAACTTTAGATTGCTCTACACTTGAGGGGTGAGGAAATAACCATTAAAAAGAATATATATATTAGATATGCATGTATTTGCATAAAACATCTTTGGAAAAATACAGACAAGAAACTGGGACACCTCGGTCGCCTCCAGGCAGGAGAACCAGGTGGCAAGTGGCAGGGGAGTGAAGGAGACTTGTACTATGTGCTGTTTTGTATCTTTTGTTTTTTGGACCGTGTGAATATGTTACCTGCTCCCTCAAAAAGTAAATAAGTAAAAAAAACTTTAAGCCAATGGAAAATTCCCAAGCCAGTTTACCTTTAGGGAGGGTGAATCTTCCTCTGCTGCATTCATTATGAGCTGTCACAGAGTATGTTTTCAATTCTACATTTAAGACTCTAAGGCAGAAAGACTTCTTTATTAGAAAATCAAATGTTGTCACCCAACAAAAAAAAAGGAAGAAGGACAAGGAAGAAGAAACAAAAGCAGAAAGAAAACAGCCTTACTTTCTTATTCTTTGTGCTCTCTCTCCTTCCTCTTCTCCTTCCCCCTGCCTCTCCCTCTTCCCCTTCTCTAACTCCTCCTCCACTACTACTTCCTTCCTTCTCTCTCTCTCTCTCTCTCTCTTTCTCTCTCTCTCTCTCTCTCTCTCTCTCTCTCTCTCTCTCTCTCTCTCTCTCGGCAGGAAAATGCACAAACCACAATGAGCCAGGTGTGATGAATTGTGCGTGTTCCATGGGACAGAGAAAAAGGACAGGTAATCTAGCCTAGGGCAATCATGAAGGCTGTAAGCAGGCAGGGACTCTAAGCTGAGTCTCAGGCCAGGCATGGCGGGAGGGAAGGTTCCATTTATGTGAAATATCCAGAATAAGCAAATCCATAAAGACAGGAGATTGGTTGTTACTAGGGCTGGGTAGAGGGAGGAATGGGGAGTCACTGTTGAACAGATACAGATTTATTTCAGAATAATGAAAATGTTGTGGAACTAGATAGTGGTGGTAATTGCACGACATTGTGAATGCAACAAATGTTACTAAATTGTTCACTTCAAAATGGTTAATTTTATGTTGTGTGAATTTTACCTCGAAAGAAAAAAAACAAACATTGCAATGAATGTCTTCTTATTTATACACTTCCATTTGATGTATTATTTCCTTATGATACATTTGCAGAAGGGGAATGGCTATATCAATAGGCATGTACATTAAAAACAAAGAAACAAAAAGAGATGATGGATTTTGGCCCTCAGAAATATTACCCCAGTTCATAGTCCCACCAACACCGCATGAATGTGGCAGTCACACACCCTCCCTACAATTTTGTCTTCACCTATTAAGAAGTAAAAATACCTCATTATTTTAATTTTCATCTTTGGTTTTATTGATTGGGCATTTATTGATTAAATGAGATTGAGCATGTTTTAAATACTTAATCATAAGTTATAATTTAATTGTCTCTTCTACTACACTCAAGATCTGTTCTATCTCTTCAGGCCCAGCACTCCCAGTTGACAAAGTAAAATCTCAGTAATTCTGGGGGGAGTGGAAGGAAATTGCAGTGACTATAAGCCCCTCC